TCTCCCAGTTACTCTTAAAACCATCAACTGCGAAGGTCCTCTAGTATAACAAACATTGCACAAATAAACCTTCCCGAAAAGCTTTAGTCTGCGACGATTAATGGAAAGCACATTGGTCTACAGAATTTCTGTTTATATGAAAGAAGGGTACCTCCCCCAACAGCCAAAACCACTACAGAATATGGTTTGAGTACAATAATCAAACATGCAATAGAAGACACACTTGTGATATCTTAATCATGAGACAGGGCTCCAACTACTAATCCAATTGGACAGTGTCTCCACATTTTTGCTAATATCCTCAACAGAATCACTTCTTAGTGCCACCACAATATCCTCTGGATAACTCTCTTTTGCTTCCTCCAGCAAAATTTGAAATATTTCACATTCGATATTATTGGAGAGCTTTTGACCTGTGTAGCCCCTGGTACAATCAAGCAAGTCAAGAACAGATCTGAGTGAGCAACATTACAGAGGCATGGATGAGAAAAGAAAAAGGAAGTCAATTGATAGATTACCTCCTACTCAATCTATCATACAAGACAGTATTGTCAGTTTGGAGGACCACCACTTTATCGAACCAACGTTCAGGGAAGAAATCGCAGCCATGATGATCAACAATATTTCCACCTTGTTCCATCATGTCCTCGAGCTCATCACATACCTACAGCAGCGACGCCATGAAATTTAGAATAGCACAGATTTCTTCATCATCGATTGTAGGAAATTTGACTTCACCCTTTTCAGAGCTGGCAAGTAGCTTTTTGTGCATCAATTTACACAATCAATTAAAAACCCAAAGCAATCATCACAGATGAAAAGTGCAATTTTGAGTCTCTCTTCAACAATGACAATACCAGCTAACCATATATTTTGAAAATAAATTCATCACTAGCTAATTCACTATCAGCAAAGAGCGTTCCTTTGATTTCCTGTCAGATAGGAAATAGTGGTTTGCTTAGTTTAAAAGACCAAAATTTGACTAATTGCTAATCTGCATTTTGCAGGTGTTGATGAGTGCAGAAAGGAAAAAACATCGACAAATTAGCTGCAATGTGGCATGCAAAAGCTCAAACTGCATTAGTAACAGCAGAAAAATTCTCTCTTCTTATTCTTTGACAAAAAACCTCTTATATACCATATCCTTTCTCTTCAGTGAACATCTTAACATAGAAAGAAGCATTTGGGATGCAAACCATATAGGAACGTTATATGCCAAAAACGGACATATTAAGAAGATGAGAACTTTATTCCAATGCACTGCAGTCCCAACAGAAAGTGCCTTACATTTGTTAATCCTATCAAGTGAATTCGCATTTTCTATTGTTAAACTTCAAATATCATTGTTTATCCCACATTCAGATATCATCTCCTTATTTTGTCAGAGGGTTTCTGCACCTCCCTCCAACCAGTTATCTTTGATGATATTTGGGGGCATTACCCCAAATACCTTTACAGCATCAAAGGACCAAAAGGAGGCAATGAAGAAGAAACAGCCACCATAACTTAAATTGGACCATCTGTTCCAAAGGAATAATGATATATACTCCATTAATGAAAGTTTTCTACTTTGAAACCAATTATAGCTTAAATAAATGCCAAGTTAAAACCACCATATCATTTCCTACGACCAATAGGACGCACAAAAGTTATCAGAAACTGCTCATAAATCAAGAAAGTTTAGACCCCGGAAACTGGTTTTCCCGAAAAAGATGAAACGACATGACTTTTGATATGGGATCCAAGCAAAATGGGATACACCTCCAGATGACCTATTTTAACATTATAAATAATCGCGAATAGTTTAAGAACTTTTTCATTGATGTTACAAGACACTCTTAGGCATTTTCAACATTCAATTCAATTCACCAGAACAAACATATATTATGATTATTTTTTGGTTTACAGTTTGGAACTAACTACAAGCAGCTCAAAACTTAAAACAATAATGACTACCTCTATAGTTTCTACTTAAATAAATCTCCAAACAACTAATAATATCCTTAACATTGGACCTAAAGCAAACGAATCAACATATTATGCCTTAATCACAACTCAATTAGATCTTTTATTCAATAGTGTTGTTTCTATCACTAATTCTTCAAAAACATAAAGAACTTAAAGCCTTTCGAGACAACTCCCTCAATGTGACTTTAAGCATACCTCGTTTCCTCTTAACACCTTCAATCCGCTACATTTAGAGGCCTATGTTTCTCATTTTATCTTTATCTCTGCTACTTGTACATTGCAAAAAAAAAACAAAAAAAAATACTAACTAAATAAACAACTTGAACAGCAACAATTCTCTCAATCGTCAAAAAAATGAAACACGAAAATAGAAATTGAAAAGATAAAATAGGAAAAGCTGATTCTTTTACATTTTTATTCTCCTATTGAACTGAAATCAAAGTCAAAAAAAGAATCCCGCATTTTTTTATTCCGGAATTAAGAGTTAGGGTATTGTATTTTCAATGTTTAAGACTTACGAGGTCTTCGTTGATGACATAACAGTCGAGAGTGTCGTCCCATCCGTCGTGCAACTTCTTCTCTTTAACCAGGTCGCCGACGTTGATGTGCCGGAGCTGCGTCGCCTCCGCCAGCGCAGACGACGTCGTCGTTTTTCCGGTGCCCGGCGTTCCGGTAATCATTATGTTAGGTCTTCTTCTTCTGCCGCTGCTATTTTGCGCCATGGTGATTACTGCGCCTACTGGAAGTAGTGAAACACTTTTTGGTCAAGTAACCCAATTATAGTGTGAGGGTATCTAGTATACAAGCAGAATATAAATGTAAACTTTGTAAAGGGTTGTTTGTTTTTAAGTATACAAAAATTTAATCTCCTGGTAAAATTATGTTATTACAATATCTTGTATATTAATACTTCCTCCGTCCCCATTTTATGTGAGATTGTTTCATTATATGCGGAATATAAGAAAGAAATATGGTTCATGAAAGATTTTGGGGCCATGAATCATCTTATTAAGAGGTAAAATAAAAACTTTAAAGTTAGATTATTTTTAAATATAAAAGTATGTCATTTCTTTATGGGACAGATTAAAAGGTAAATTGAGACAGAGGAAGTGTGTGTATATATATATAACTCATCCGTTCACTTTTACTTATCCACTATGGACTATGCATACCCCTTAAAAAATAATAAATGAGGTGCATAATTTTACCATGATACCCATATTACTTGATGTATATTTTTAATGAATTTGAAAAAATAATTTGAAAAGTGTAATTTGTGGGTATAACAGAAAAAAAGAAATTGTCTTCTCTTGATATGCTAAAAGTGACAAGTAAAGTAAAAATCTATTTTTAGAATACTGGACAAGTAAAAGTGAACGGAGGGAGTATATATAAATGATAGGCGTAATGGCTTCCTGGCCACTTAAACTTGTATCGATTTGTAAAGCCGATACATGAACTTGTATTTTTCCCATTTGAACACTTCAACTTGACGGAATGAATATTAATAAACACATTTGACCATTGACCAAGCCTATGTGGAATTGGCACAGCTGACATGGCTAAATTGTGTGCAAATCACGCTGCCAAGGCGCGTGAATAGTTTTTTTTATTAAAAAATATTAGAAATAGAATAAAATATAAATAAGAAAGAAAAAAGAAAATGAAAAAAAGACCTTTCTCTTTCCCCCTTCTTTTTTCCCCTCCCCTCCCACCTCTCTCGTCTTCCCAAGCGAACTCCCCCATCCCATAATTTTTTTTTATTTTCTATCATTCATGTAAAGTATTGCACAAGGGCTGGAAGCATTGCAGATTTGACCAATCATTCACGTGAAGTATGCAAAATCCTCCTTTACCTATTTCCCTATTCTTTTAATGGTTTTATTCTCTTGGGGGTAAATGTTTCTTTCCACATTTTAGCGGGACCCACATTGGATGGTGAAACCCTGGGTGTTGTTGCTATCGGAGAAACCACCTCTTCGGTTACAACAGCAGCCGGAGTAGTCGTTTCTTGACTGGAACTCGAAGTGGATGTCGGAATTTTCGCCTTTGCAAGTGAAATTTCATCTTCAGATTCAGCAAGAAGAGCAATGGTGGAGCCCACAGGAGCGGACCCACCTTTAGGAACAATAATAGTAGCTAAATAACCATCGTAAAAAGATTCAACATCCATGTCAGCTTTATCTGATTCAACAACAAGAACTGCTTCGCCTTTAGCAAGTTTATCACCTTCAGTTTTGACCCAATTGACAATCTTGCCTTCAGTCATAGTAGAACTGAGTGCATGAAAATTTCACTAATCTTGGACTCTATTACATGGGTTATGCGTAAATGGGTGGCTGGGAAGATGAAGCACGGCGGAGGGTGATTGGGGTGGTGGGGATGAAGGTGGAGAAAAAAGAGAAAGAAAAAGAAATTAAAAATTTTATAGACTAAATTTTTTTCTAATAATATAGGACCAACAAATACACATGTCATATAATAAAGATCAAATATGTGACATGACATTCATGTCAAAGCGATTGGCGAACACGTTCAACAGAAAGTGTTTAATAGTATTCATTCTGTCAAGTTGAATTGTTCAAATGAGAAAAATATAAGTTTATGTATCGGTTTTACAAACCGATACAAGTTTAAGTGGCCAAGAAACCATTACGCCTAAATGATAGTATGGTGTCTATTTTCGGTATTGAACTCCATAAATTATTAGGAGAATAATACTCTCCATAAATTATTCAAAATTTAATACCTAAAACAAACAATGCACTAGTAATTCTAATATAACTAACACTTTTTTCCAGCAATATAACTTATACTTAATTTAACTTAACTTATACTTAATTTTATGTTACTTTATGCGTGATAAGATGTGATCAATGGCCGAGCCAGCTTTTTCATTAAGGGTGATCAAAGTATAAAGCACATGACTTATATTCAATGGCAGAGCTAACTTTTTCATTATGGTGCCATAATATAAAGAAGTAAACTGAAAAAAGTCAAGGAGATTTAATATATACATAATTAAAAAAAAATTAACCTATCTACATGCTGTAGCTCCGCCACAGCTTGCATTAGCAATAAATTGATTGTTATTTACTACATAACAATTCTTGCATTAAATTCATGCATAATAAATTAATCAATCCCTATACAACAATTCATGACCTCACAAGGCAGGGGTAAGATCTGCCTACACACTACCTTCTCCAGACTTGTCAATCCCTATTCTCTATCCGGCTTGATACAGAGAGTCATGTTATCGGTCGACTCAATCTGATAGTGTAAAATTTCTTTACACGATTATCGGTGCGCGGAACATATTCTCAATTTATCAAGGGTTTAGTTGGGAACTGATCTTGTCAAACTTAGCTGTTAGCATTCAATGTCCTTTCCTCTTGGGAGCCACAATTGCTGGCTGGACATTCAGAAGCAAACTTGCAAGATCTGCATTTCCAGCGCTCCTCTTCGGGGGTGTAACTGGCTTCTCTTTCTCCTCGCCAGACCTCTAAAGAAGACTTTATTTGACCCTTTACCCAGTTAAGATCATACTCAAACTGATCTTCACCAAGCAATGATTGATCTTCTTGTAATTCATACCTGCAGAGAAAGAACACACAATTTAGTTTCTAATATATAGAAGGGTCTCTTTTAATGAACTTTCTTGAGCCTGGTTTGGATATTGAATCTGACTAAAAAAAGGGCAGCCCGGTGCACTAAACTCCCGCTATGCCGGATCCAAGGAAGGGCTGGCTAATTATAAAATGTGATTAATGAAACTAAAAAAATCAGGAAAAACGTATAAATTGAAAATATAGGGAAAACATAGGAAAACTGGGTGAAAGCATAGAAACATGAGGACAATCTCCAGAGGTATAGAAATTAGAGATTCATCAAATAATCAACTCTGAGATCACTTCTTCATGAGAGTCCAACTTTGATATCTCCTCCATAAAAAAAATTCAGTTCATGTGGGCTTCATGTTTCTAACAAAAGGACATAGAAAGCAACCAAAAAGTTGAAGAAATTTTTTATAATTTGGAGTTTTTAGGTAATGATTCTGAAGGTCAACTTCAGACATCTCACTAGCCAAACCAGAGAAACAGAGAAAGAAGTCAATAACAGAAATAAAAGCAACATCAAAACGGCTATAATGGTAGAAAAAGTTGGAAACACCAGAATGCAGCATATGCATTCATTTTGATAAAGTTGATCCAGAAACACGATGCTTGAAAAATCTCTATTTCTACCATCTGAAAATTGTGAAATTTTAGTATACTATATGAAATTTCAATTCACCTTAACATTAGTTGCTCATGTGCTGGTGGAAGCATGCACCAAGTATTGCGAAGGTACCTCAACATATCAGTGAGAGTCTGCATTGACACCAAAGAGCACGATGAAAAAAAAAACAAGCTATCAACAAAATATTTCCAAAGGCTAAAACATCAATAAGATTTCCATAGCAGGAAAACAAAGCTGGCTCCATTTTTTTTAAGTAAACTAGGCACCCATTGGGATGCGATGTAAAAGACGTACAACATGCTGAACCACATCTTTTAGTCCTTTTCCCCCGAAGTAAAGTTGTGATTTTTTTATCCAGGTATAATTAATCATCACGATTCTAGAACTCATTGAGGTCCATTTCTGGTCTTGATCAGACTACGAAGATGGATGGAGAAGAGGCTTCTCAGAAAGGGAAAATTTTGAGAAATAGCTTAGTAAAATTTTAAGAGAACTCAAGTTTAGGGCCTTCAAGTGATCGTTAAGAGTTGGCCTAGACACCAAAAAAGTTGGCTGCTTCCTGCACATGATCTTCTACGGGCATGAGAAAACTTATTCAGGTACTTGGCTCGAGATCCTACAACATCAAATTATGTACCCATTTCTCCTGTTCTTTTTCATAACAATAAGAAACTATAAACTTCTATCCTGAAAAAGTCAGCATCGGGTAATACCTCTGCAGGGAATCCACATTTAGCAGTATTCTCTCTGATTTCAGCGGATAAAATCTGATACGGATTCAGAGAGAAGAAATCAAAAAACTGTCTGGAGGGGAATTCATCAGCCACTAAGCTGTCCCACAGATGCTTGTAGCACATTAGTTGAAGCCTGCCAAAGCAGAGATCACCAGTTCATTAGATTTTGTACCAGTAAGCACATTTCAATAATAAAAAAATTCCATTCTGTTGCATATCTCCTTCTCATCAGACAGCTTTCAGCATTAAGTGCAAAGCAATACCTTCCATTCCTCCGTTGCGGTTCACCAGGAAGGCTAGCTCTCACTCTTGTTTTTGTGTCGACTAACATTGGGTATGTATCAGTTTGTCCTTTCGGCATTCGTATCTCATCAATAACTCCCACCATCCAAACACCTTCAGCAAAACCTACTCTGATGAACCAAATGAATTAGCCCAGCAGCACTTAAGGATGAAAATAATGAAGGATTTTCATAATTTTCTTTCCTACTATGCAGGAACTACTGAACTTGTTAAAGAGGAAAATCCTATGTCATGTGCAAAGATAAAGTTTGAGGTGAATTAGTGTGAGAATATGCATTCAGTCACAAGTGACTTTGGATGGACGCCAAGAAATTGCGTACATGCACAACTGCATGCAAGGACATGCACCTATATGATCATGGTGTCAACAGGTGTCGACGTGTAGGGACAAAGACAGATACTTCATATGGGCATTAACTTATATAGTTTCGTATGTGCTTTGCAGGAAAACAACTGGACAAGAATAAATGGAAATTCAAATATCCAGTGACACATATATCGATACTCTCTATTTTCCCACGTCTACATGCTAAACAAGTAAAGAGAAAATAAATAACGAAATCCACAGCGTGTGGGTCCCTAATCTGAACCATGCAGTTCAAGATGAGTTCAGCAATTTTGTCTGCATAATGTTGAAGCAATCTTCCTATCAACCCGATTAAATCTGCTATATCATGTAACTATTTGATCTAAAAGCTTAAACTATTAAAAAAGAAGACACATTTATTTATTTTTTATTTTTTATAATAAGCTGTGTTGCAGGGCCTGCTTGACTCTTTTTCTTGGGTCAAGCATGTGAAAATTCTTCTTGAAAATGGGTAGTGAGTCTTGCATATAGACCTTTGCATACTATGATATAATGTTAAATTGTGTGATCACCTCATCTAAAAGTTTAAACTGTTAGATATGAGACTTATTTATCTGTTTAGTTTAAGTTGATGAAATGTTACTGGTGTGATGTTAAAGGAATAAATGGTCAAGTCCTTTTTCATTAATGGATCACAAAGTCTGTATATGACACTTAAATATATACACCTGCCTTTTCTTTTTTAAATGCTTATAGATACACAAGAATAAATAAGATCATTAGTTTAAAATAAATTCTTGATGTGGAACAATATTGTCTACTAGTCATACATATAGGAATATTTAAAAATTATTATGAACTAACAAAAGATTAAAAGAGACTTACAAAGGCAATTCACGTGTTAATCCATCAAATAATAGTTGGTTTGCGCCAACTATGAAATTCAAGAACTTCAATGCCCATACATCTTCAGCTGACGTAACATGAACTTTTACCTTTTTGATCACCTGCATACAATCAAAATCATGTTAAGGTAAGAATGAGCAATAACTAAAACACAAGAATATACTAAAGAATCACTTTGAAACGGAAATGGTAAGCACTGATAAATACGTTAGTATTTGCACAACTCTTGATATTATCTCTGTAATGTCCTCTCAGCAAACTGACATACAGGATAATATAAAATATCTGTCATATCAAAGTACTTCCGCCTTAATCACTCAAACATAGATAAGGAATACCTCTTCTTCGAGTGCTTCATGACGAATGCTACCAGCTTTCATAGCTTTGGTCTTTTCGGGCTTGCCACAGAGAAGAGAATACTCCATCTTTTTTTCACACCATTCCTGAAGGCAAACTTGTGATACTGAGGACTAGTAATCAGGTGTACTACATGTTTTAGGGATTAAAACTATCTGCACGCACATTGCAAATGACTTTCAAATATATAACAAAACCAATGCAGAACAAGAGAATATACTCAAATAAACGTTCACACCAGAAAGGCTCAAACAAGTACTTCCTTTACACTAGCCAAATTTCTCTTATAATAACGCCACAGTAGATAAAATTATTGAGCAGTTCTATCCCAGTAACATATCTTACCTACCAGACTGATCCAACAATGACAGCATGAGAAACCAAAGGAAAAGAAATTAGTAATACAATTTTCAGCCATACAAGGCCTAAACCATTGTTTCTGGGAGGCCCTGCAACTCGTATTGGCTAGCACTCAACAGCACAAATCTGCTTCTTGAGACCAAAAGAATAACAAAATCAATATTGTTACTGAACACAAAGAAAATTTGAATTTGAGACGAATGGCCTAGCAGTCCTCCTTATTAGTGGAAGAATATAAAGATCCAGAACCATATGGTCAATGGATTCCAACATCTTCCAGAACGGTTACCAGGAAAAAGCATCATGTCGATGCACTATATGTGCAAATGAACCAGCTATAAATGAGGTAAACCATAAGCCTGACCTAGATTCAAAACACTTGCAATCTCATGTAAAATCCAAGTGAGTCTCAAATGACGTAATCTTTTGCACTAAACATCATACTACCTCCTAGAACTTAAAAAAAAAAAAAAAACAGATGAGTAATCTCACTTCACCCTGGTCTATCTCAGTACTCAAGTCTGTGTGCGGAACAATTCAAATAACATATCCAACCTATATTTATCTACCCAAAAATCACAAGAAAAGAACCCAAATAAAAGATCAAAAGATAATACTCCCTTTACCCCGACTTATCTGACACTCCTTTTACTCTAGGACATCACAAAATGTTTGGCACCATTTGATTTCATTACAACTTTCACAGCTTCAATTAATTCAAATTCATTGCACAATTCAAGTTAGAAAATTTGGTGTGATATTTTCTTATAGCAAACTAACCTTTTGAATAGTATTACTTTAATTTTGTTTCCACCATGCTAATAAAACATAGAAATCAAAAGGAAAAATAAAACAATAAGCCCTCATGTACTCATAGTCAAAGCGACAAATTAACCTAGAATTCCATATTCCAATTCTACTTAGCACTCAAATAATGGAACATCAGCAAGACCACAGCTTTTGTCAAACTACAACATCAGAGCCGTCGAATTGTAGCACAACTAAAGCAAACTGATTAAAAAAGAACACTCTTCGCGTCACAACTTATCTTACCATTTTGGGACGTCCAAAGATGTTTCACACAATTTCATTTCTATATAACAGTCACAACTTTGAAAAATTAAATTCATTAAACTGTTCAAATTTAAATTTTACTCCTATGTGATAATATCTCTACCAAATTAACTTTTCAAATTACTTTAATATTTTTCTATCATGCAATTATAATGTAAAAGCCAAATTACTATCTTAAACTTGGTATCTAGTAAGACCGACCAATAATGATAAACGACATTATGTACAAAGCAACAAAACAGGCTGAAAATCAGAATTCCATTTTCCAGTTAGCATATGAGGAAACATTAGCAAAAACTACAGCTTTTTCAAACTTCAACATCAAAATAACATCAAAGTGTAACAAAACTAAGCCAAATTGTATTAAAAAAACAAATGAAAAATTCATACTGTGGCAGTAATATCAGTAACAGACAAGCCTCTGTTCCTCCGAAACCGATGCAACAACGAATCAACAACTCTATTCCTCTTCTGGCTACTTGTTAACCTTCCAGAATCTTCTACATCGATCACTAACGGATCACTCTGCGAACAACTCGAAATACTCCGTTTCGATAACAGAGTAATTGACTTAATCGACCTGACGTTTTCACGGAAATGAGCCGATGAAGAAGCGCGTGGTGGAGACGACACCAGAGCGCGCGTGGCGGCGAAGGCAGCTTCGATTAGCGCCATTTCTTCGTCACTGATTATCTCTACAGGAACGTGAAATGGTGTTTTTTGGTTTTGTGTTGGTTCTTCAGGAGGAGGGGAGTGACTCGGTGATTGTGACTCGGTCATTTTGGACGAGTTGGTACCGAGTCGTGGCATGTGACCGTTAGGAACGCCAGGAATATGGGATAGGAGCCATGTTTTTGGTATTAATATACTTCTTTTATCAAGTCGGTCAACTAAAATTTAAATTTAAAAGAATGAGTACAGTATTTTAGCTCTTTTTTACTTTTTTCTCTTTTTGTTAAATTCGGAAGAGTAATCTTTATAGTTTATTCCATAAAAATGACTCCGTTTCAAAAAAGTTCTCACTATTTTCTTATTAGTGTGTTTCAAACATATTAGCACATCATATACTCATCAATGAGAAGCGATTATAGTTACGTTAATTTCAGCAAGTCGCTGGGGAATGTCGAGAATTTGAGCAAGGAGGGTCATGGTTTCTCGATATACACTCGTAGAAAATTTCTGTTTTTTGTTTTTTTTTGTAGAGCACGAAGGCTTATCGAGCCTCTTTTTATAGAGTGTATAGCAATTCTGCCAATGCAGTACGAATTGCATGGCTGGCACAATATGATTACTATAACCACGCTGCCTGTACACAACTGTAATGGTTTGTTTAAGATCATAAGTTTAAAATACTTTAGAACCACATAAATGGTATGGTATATTTAGGAGCATAAGTTTAAAAAGTTTTCCTCTCGTTATTAAACTTTGTGTCAAGTCGAGGACAAACAAATTGAAATAGATATTATTTTTTCTTGAATTTTATTTGATGGTATTTGTTTGAAGATAGATAAACAACAGAAAAATGATTATTGACATAATGTTATACTATACTCACTCCGATCCACAATAAGTGACCACTTTGTTTTTAGCACTCCCATTAAGAAAATACTAAATTCTATACAAAAATACCTAGTATGACTAAACTACCCTTAATTAAATATTTAATGTGAGTAAGAAATTTTTTTAGGGATATGTACATAAGGGTAATCTTGTAAAAATAAATTGAATTCTTTCTTGATTATATAAATGGACACTTATTTTGGACCAAAATAAAAAAACAAATTGGTCACTTATTGTGGACCAGAGGGAGTAAAAACATCTGAAATAAATGAGCATGTTATACATAATGTATAGGCTCATCTCCCGCTACATAGTATAAAATCGAGAAATAACTTTAATACGATATGAAAATGTAGCATGTACTGTATCTTCCATTGTCATTATTCTTTCAAAAGTCAAAACACATCCATAATTTGAGATTTATGATATACGTAAATAATTAAGTTGTGAGGACAAAGAGCTAAACATAAGAAGAGAAAATGGCGAGGCAGATTGGTTGCAGAGATATACGTATATACGGTATAGTATACAGAACGTATAGGATCACAAAATTTAAAAAGTATGAAATGTTATGACAACTTTATAAAAGCTGAGACCACTACGAAATAAACGATTAAAAAGCTTAAATAAGAAACATAAGCACTTCAAATTCATCTTTTACATCCTTTCCACTCCCCTTTTCCAGGGGAGGAAAATTGGAAGGAAGAAAAGAAAAGACTAATTTTAACCACAACAAAAACGCTTGCACAAAAGAAAATACCATTTTTTTTTTAAAACTGAAAAATATATAGGCCATGGTAGATTGGTTGGGAACTCTGTGTAATGGGCCGACGGCTGAGCCCTCTACTCCTCTCCACTTAAATCGTAGGCTTTTGTCTTGAGAAGGGTTCGAATCTTTGTGACGTACGTTAACCCACACATAATGTAAATGTAAAACTAAAGCTCTCGGTGCAAAGAGAAAGCTATCTCCTATACTCCAGGTGTAGAAAGAAGCCAAGAACTCATTCCTATAATCTGATACTTCGCCTACTAGCAGCATTAATTCCTGTAGTTTCTCCACCATAAGGACCACTTGGCTTCTTGATATCGCGAACTTGTCCTTTCCTACGTTTCTGCTGCTTCTCATGTTTCCCCTAAGAGAGAGATAAACAGTGTTTTTGTCAACGTTGTTATATCATGAATTTAGTTCACGTACAAGCATTCTGCTTTAGCCACTTACCCTGTACTTCTTCCTTGGATTTTTAGTCAGCTTATTACGATGACGTGTAAGGCCCCTGTTCTTCTCCATCTAGAAATGAAAGAAACCCGACTTTAGTGAAACTACCAGAAGAAAAAAGAAGGTAGGTGATGAATGCAACTGGCAACATAGCTGGTATGTCATACCTGGTAATTTATTTGGCGCTTCCCGTCCACAAGCGTTTCTGTTGTCGACGAAATAACTGGGGCTCTACTATGGCAAATTATGGTGAATTAAGTGAATCAAAGTGAACAAATGCATGTCTATTTCCAGATTATGCACTAATGAAAAAATAGCCAAGCAAAGGATGCCATTGAGCTAGAGAAGAAACAAATGCTGGAGGATCTTATCAAAAATAGATGCGGGACTCAGAAGGATAATACATAATAATCCATATCGATGGGGTATCCTAAAAATCTTTCAAATGAAAGTAGTTTAGCAGGTGGAACGAGCTTGCTTTTAAAAATATTAAACAATATGAGTCTAACCTGGAATACATCTTTTCTTTAGCAGCAAGCTTAGCTGAATGTTGCTTTTCCACTTCTTTATAGAATTCCAAATCTGAGTCCATTTCACCATCGTCAGAACTAGCAACATCATCACTTGCATGGTTACCGGGCTCATCTTCAACATCATCAGAAGGTTCAATTCCGGCTCCGGCTAGAACTCTTAGTTCATGCTTTCTTCTCCTTTCTCCAATGTCGTCTCGCTTTGGTAAATCATCGTCACCAGAAATTACCTTTCAAAGGAACAAAACTTGTTATAATGCATCTAGTTAGGTTAAGTCACACGAGACATACTAAGAAGTTTGAAAGCTTAAAAAACATTCCATGCCAGGAAAAATGATTACAACACACATCTACTTTAACAAAAGCAAAATACACACACAAACACACATCTAAATATATAAAAATAATACCAAGGAAACATGAATGGAGAAGAAGTGCGGATCACAAAGCTAACTTAGCAGGCAGCTACCTGAATATCATCAGTAAAAACTGCTTGCACAATAATACTACTCCCGGTCTACCACACTGTATTTCTTTGATATTTGTGAAAGGGTATATCACAATTATTTAATTTTAACTCGAAGAGAAAGGCAGTTTAACACAAAATGTGTCAAACATGAAGGGTTTCTAAATAATCCTAATTGCCACAGCTGAATATAACTCAATAACATATTACGAAGAATTCAACTCTTAAGAAGAGCACATATAAAGATGTAACTTCTATGAAATACATGCAAAGATAACTCCCTCCGTCCCAAATCAGTTGGCCATTTATGATCATCAAGGCCAAACAGGTTTCTTTTTTTTTTTTTTGAAATACCTGGGAATTGCTATAAAAGAGGCAAGAAGGAATAAGGAAAACAGTCAAATGATCACCAATAAAGGAAAAGGGGGCCACTATTTTGCTAAAGGGAGCCACAAACAGAGACAGAAGTTGAAAGGACTGTCAAATTCCATACAGAGTATCAACCTCAATGCAGTTGCATACACTCACATAAAAGAAATAGGTTATTTATTTACATGAATATCAACAAAACGAACACAAAATTAAAGTATTTCTGATCCACACCTTGGGTCTCGCTACTTGAGGAGTTACAAGCCTAGACAGCTTATTTAAACTCCGTATCTCACGATCATCTCCGGCAACCATGGCATCATCATCAAAATCATCAGGTGTTGCCAACTGCCTGCATATAATTCATTGGACTTCCCATCAGTGATTTCATGTTTGCATCAAGTTATGTAGACTAACAGAAGACGTATATGGAGCAACATATCGCGAAGCAAATTAATACCCATTCAGTAGTCGCAAGCGCTTGTTTTGTTTTTCATGTTTTCGTGCAATGGAACCTAAGACACCTGTCTGCTTCCATTTTTCCTCAAGGTCAGCTCTCACTTTTAACATTTCCCTGCTCTGGATACCAACTTGATCATCCTGCCACAATTCTTTAATTAGCTAATTTGAACTTAATGGTAAAAGAAGAAGAGGTCTGGTGGTCTTGCGACAAATAGGAACATGGATGAAAAAGCTGTTAGAAATAAAAAGACAATGACATTGGTACTAGTCTGGTGATATTTAATTTGCATTGTAACGGTGACAGTGGACTCGCCTGCTGATAGTTTATAAGCAGAACAGAGATGTGCTTAGACACATACACCATTTACCTGACGTTTGCGTTTTGATTCGTTTTTCTGTTGACTCTTTAAACCATTTGCCTCCACCAACTCAGCTTCATGAGGCTACAAAGAAGGAAAAAATTACACTAAATTTTTCATGGTTGCTTAATAAAAACTACAAAAGGTTTTCAATCAAATTAGCCCAAATAAAAAAATGATGATGGGATGCTTGAGCAACAAAATAAGATGAATCAAACTGGAAATTACCTCTATTTCTTGAACATCAGCTAATGCCACAGAAGGCTTGTGACTAATGGGGAGAGGTTCAGAATCCAAGTTACTTCCCGCCAACTTTACACGAGTTACATTATCAACATTCTTGTTCAAAAAGTCTTCTAGTTCGGAAGGAAGATTTCCATCAAGTTCTTTCATCTGCATAAATGAATTCATCAACACCTAGAAAGATACGAAGAGGGGAGCAGGGTATGCGCATTGAAGCTAGCCAAGAATCAAATAAATCAGAAGAACGAGGAGAGGACTAGCAACTATTTGGCAACATCATTTAGCAGCTAAGCAAGCTAAGCGTGTTAATTGAGTACACATTTGACAAATTTAATATGTTTGGTAACGATCAGTCAACATATCATATCCACTTCAAATTCTCTAAGACTCTAAAACTTGATTCAAGAACTAAAGAATCCCTTCCACGGAAATCCGTGTATTTAAATTATTTCATGTATGAGTTTAGCTAGCTATGCTAGACAGACAGATTGAGTTCATCAAATAAAGCAATAAGAATGCTGGAGACTATTTTATGGGGTATTCACTTAAGAAGCTATGCAAGAGTAGGAAATTGAGGAATTAAATTTTTGTCAACCAACATGAAAGAAAAAGGAAAGATACTTGGGGGTACGGAAAGGACGTATTA